TGTGTGTGTGAGTGTGTGTGTCTGTGTCTATGTGAGTGTGTGTGTGTCTGTCTGTGTCTATGTGAGTGTGTGTGTGTCTGTGTCTATGTGAGTGTGTGTCTGTGTGTGTACCAGCATGTGGAGGTCAGAGGACAAGCACAGCTGTTGTTCCTTAGGTGCTGTCCACCTTGTGTGTTGAGATAGGCTTTTCACTGTCCTGGAATTCACTGATTAAGTTAGCCTGTCCAGCAAGCCTTAGGAATCTTTCTGCCTCCATAATCCCCAACTAGGAATACAAACATCAGACTTGGTTCCTCATGCTTTCAAGGTAGACACTTTATCAACTGAGCTATCAGCCCAACCCAAGCCTTCCACTCTCTGGTTGATAGACTCTACCACTGATCATGATGAAACAAACTCTTGGTAAATTTGTGGGATCTCACCAAAGCCCACAGCAAATGTGCTGTGTGAGGGTGGACTGTGGAAACCTGGAAGGTGAAGGCAGATGAGGGAGCTGCCTCTCTGCTTCCTCCAGCATGAATATCTGGGCAGCAGGCATGCTGGGAAATAAACAAAACATATAACGAGCCCAAGGCGGAGACGAGAGTCACCCTTCACATTGACAGACCAAGTGGCAGTCCACACAGCTAGCCTGGGATTGACTATGGCCACTGTTAGAGACCCAGGGCCACAGCAGGAAGCTTTCTGCAGAAGTCATTACCAGTGTAAGACTCATCACACTAAATAAACATAACTTCCTGACACTGACAATGACCAGCTAGATAAGAAACCAGAGTAGAAGACTGTTCCAGCTAAAGAGACTAAAAATCACTTAGAAAAATAACCAGTAAAACAAGTGTAAGGTTTTTTTTTTTTTTAATTTGAAGCAAGGTCTTCCTCTCTATATAGCTCAGAGTTGTCTCAAATTCAATGTCTTTTTAAATGCTGGGATTATAGGTCTGAGCCGCCATTTCCAATGCTTATATGCAAGGCTTTACAGAAGAACTTAATCAACTGAGTGCAAAGATGTAAAATTATGTGTGTCAGAGGCATGTGGCCACAAATGGGGACATTGACACCACATGTTCATGGAAATCCCAGTAAAACACTAATGAAGATATCAGAGAAGCACAACAATATTGTTGTGGTTGTTTGTTTGTTTGTTTGTTTCTTTTGAGACAGGGTCTCACTGTGTGGTCCTGGCTGGCCTGGAACTCACTATAAAGATCGGGTTGGCCTCGAACTTATAGCCATCTTTCTGCCTTTGCCTCAAGAGTATTGGGATTAAAGTCAGATGACTTTAAAATTTTTATTACAGACTTCCAGAGGTAGAAAGTTTTCATTAAATTATTGATTACAGGAGGATTAGCCTTTGGTTATAAGATGCAGTAGTGGGCTGGGGATGGAGGTCAGTTGGTAGAGTGCTTGCCCTGGGTTCAATCCCCAGCACCGCATAAAGCAGGTATGGCAGTGCGCACCTATAATGCCAGCACTCAAGAGGCAGAGGCAGAAGGATCCGAAGTTTCAAGTCATCTTTGACTATCAAATCCAAGACTATGTGAGACCTTGTCTCAAAACAGGAATGAAGAGGACAAGAGTATTTGACAGGAAAATCCTTCGGACTGGGGATGGAGCTCGGTAGTGGAACACTTTTCTAGCATGGATATGACCCTAGGTTTAGTCTTCAGCATCACACAGACAAAAAAGAAAAGACAAAAGACAAAAGAAAAGAAACAAGCAACTCCTTGGGTAAAATGTACTTTGTTGGAACAAAAATTTGGGGGAATTCAAAGTGCTAAACTGTATTCAGCATTGACTCAAAGCATCTTTCTTTCTTTCTTTCTTTCTTTCTTTCTTTCTTTCTTTCTTTCTTTCTTCCTTTCTTTCTCTCAGAGTTTTATTTCACTTTATGTGTATAAGTGTTCTGTCTGAATAATATATATGCACCATATGCATGCCTAGTACATAGAGGCTGAAAGAGGTGTCAGACCCCCCAGAAACTAGAGACAGAGGGTTGTAAGCCACCATGTGGGTGCTGGGAAACCACCCACTTGAAAGGGCAGTGTATGCAAGCTCTCAGTGCTGTGTCATCTTCTTATCCTGTCTGTCTTGTGATGGGATCACATGTAGCCCAGGCTGGCCTGCAACCAACTGCCTAGCTGAGAATGATGTTTAATTTCTGATCTTCCTGCTCTGGCTCTATAGTGCTTGGGATCACAGACTTCCACCACGCTCAGACTGTACAGGTCTAGGGGTGGGACTTAGGGCTACATGTATACCAGGCAAGTACTGCTCACTCAGCTACATTCCTGGCCATCTTGTCCTTGTAAGCATCTTATTTTAAGATGAAGGAAAGTGGGCTGCTTTGGGGACAAAAAAAAAGGTGTCTCTATCACAAGCCAAAGGACAAAAGTATTTTCAAAGTTTAGGTGCCTACAGTTGCTTTGAAAGAAAAAAATAAACAAACCTAAGCATCCGTGATGGTCCGTTCTCACTTGCCTAGATTACATTCTCTGACTTCAGGGCAGTGTGACTTTCCCAAATATGTCATCAACAATTGTGTCTGTGCCAACATTTGTAAAGGAAAATTGCTTTCCTTCATTAAAGCTCACAAGCATTAGTCATCAGCACTTTGTCAACTGATTTATGCAAACCTCCTTTGTGCCCTCACGGATCCTGCCCAGAAGTGGCTCTGTAGGCATTATCTTGCCAGCTAGGAAACCACAATCACTGGTCTAGTTTTATATTGTGCGTGTGTGGGAGCCACACAAATGCGGCAGTTTGGCCAGGTTTCAGTGAATAGCATTCTGTAAAGTCTCAGAAAGCAAGAACCAGAAGTTGCCAAGGCTTTCTGGAGGAAGGGCGTGCACCAGAAACTTTGATGAGTTAACTAATCAGCTCAGGGCTTTGAAAAGTGCCCCAGTGGAACCATGTATGGTGGTTCATACCTGTAACACTAGCATTCCAGAAGCTCAGACAGAAAGGGGGCTGTGAGTTCAAGGCTAGCCTGGGCTGCAAAGGCCCTCCCTCAAAATTATAACGCTCCTGAAGCTAATTAAGCCGACCAGGTTTCTTTCCTCTTGGGGACCTAGAGTGAAATGGTTGCAAACAGCAGCCTCTTTGGGAATGTGTGTAGCTTATTACCTCTACAGGTTGCCCTAAGGGAACTTGGTAACAACTTTTTGGTGGCTATTAACATCTGATCTGAGTGTTGTACCAAAGCGAGGCTCCAAGCAGGCGGCTTTGGGAAGTCCCAGGGCACAGCAGCCAGAGTTCACATTTGCCAGCTACTCATGTCCATCTGAGCAAAACTGAAGAATAAAAAACATGTGAGTGAGGCCCTGTGTAGAGTTAAGGAACAAGTTCCCTGGCCAGTGGAAGGAATACACCTCAAAGTTGTGGGGCTTTCACCAAGTTTAATGCCAATGAACTTGATGACAGAGCAGCTGAGAATTGGCTCATCTTTGATGACTGTGAGGTAAAATATATTCCCAACTGTGGTGTGTATCCTGAACAAGTGGCAGAAGACCCACAAACCCACTCTTGAGGGTTTCCACTGTCCTTCCCTGACCCCCAAATCATATTCTGCTACAAATCTCACATCCTGGGTGAAAACAAAAGCAAAATAAAACAAAAAACTAGGTAAACCCAGGTACACATGCCTGTGGCAGGTCTGCAAAGTGACATTAAAAACTGGAGAGACCTGGAAAGACATGCAGCCATCTGGACAAACCAAAATAAGCTCAAAAGCCTCACACAACTCAAACATAAATTTCAGATACATCAAAGTGCTTTTTCTTTTTCCTTTTAAACCCCTATGTGGCCTAGAACTTGTTCCCTGAAGCACCATGACCATGGGACACATCCACTAACACAGGAGCGTTGTAGAGCATTGGTGGGTGACTGGGGCTAAGAATGCAGCCCCTAACCCTTCCTGCAGGCTAGCCTCTCCTGAGTTTACTGGGTTTTAGGGTTTACTGAGTTTAGCTGGGTTTTAGGTAGGATTAAAATAGCCTCCTCACTCCAAGGCTGTGGGGAGAGCTCAGCTGTGGGGTGTTTGCTAAGGCTACTCAAGGCTGTCAAGAAAACATAGTCCTCTCAAATGAGACAAATGATAAGAAAACCCAAGTCTGGGTTCAGCTCTGTTCAAGTGGTCTCAGCAGTATCATTGGCTCTGGAGCCCTAGGGGAGGTCACCTGTTAAGTATTCCTTCCCTGGAGAGACTGAAACAATGTCTTTCCCCTCCTCCAAATTATGGTTCCACTAAAGTTCACCCCAGGGAAACTGTTAGTTCATCAGGCATACTTAGAGCATGGCTGACTCCAAAGCAGCAGCAGAAAGTCTTCACCCAGTGTGAGAATGATGGATGGTTCCAGAATCGATGTCCTTCTCTATTAAACCTCCCCAAACCTCTAACACCTCCCAGATCCAGAGGGCATGTGCTATTAGTGCAGAACAGCATTAAAAATGGCTGTTCTAGGAGCCAAGTAGTGGTGGCACATGCCTTTAATCCAACACTCAAGAGGCAGAGGCAGCTGAATCTTTGAGTTGGAGACCAGCCTGGTCTACAGAGTGTGTTCCAGGACAGCCAGAGCTACACAGAGAACCTCTATCTTGAAAAACAATCAATCAAACAAACAAAGGCTGTTCTACTTTCATTTCCTGTGCTATGATAAAATATCTCGACAAAGCAACTTTGAGCAGAAATGTTTTATTTGGCTCACAACTCCAGATCACAATCCATTATTGCAGAGAAGTCAGGGAAGGAATTTAAGGCATTGCATCCACAGACAAGAGCAAGAGAATAACAACATGGATAACTGTTTGATCCCTTGTTCTTGTTCTCAGCTAGCTAGCTCCTCTCTTAAAAGTTCAGAAGCTTCTGCCTAGGGAATAGTGCTACTCACAGTGGGCTGGGTCTTCCTTTACCAGTTAACAATCAAAGTAACACCTCGAAGACATGCCCACTGACCAACCTAATCTAGATAATTCCTCTTTATAACTCTCTTCCCAGGTGTTTTGAGTTAGAATGGCCCCATAGGCTCATATATTCAAGGGCTTGGTCACCAGATAGTGGCACAATTTGAAAGGATTGGGAGGTGTGGCCTTGTTGGAGGAAATGTGTCACTGAGGGTGGGCTTTGAGGCTTCAAAAAGCCCATTCCAAACCCAGAGTCTCTTTCTTCCTAATGCCTGCAGCTCTGGATCGAGATGTAGAACTCTCAATTGCTTCTCCAGCATCCTGTCTGCCTTCATGCCACCATGCTCCCCATCACAATGACAATGAACTAAACCTCTGAAACTGTAAGCAAGACCCTGTTAAATGCTTTTCTTTCTAAGAGTTGTCATGGTCATGGTGTCTCTTTATAGCAACACAACACTGACTAAGCCGGTCACATTGACAAAACTAAGCAGCCCAATTCTACCCTTGCCAGCTTGATACCCAAATATGTCATTTTTAAACCATAACTTTCCATGTCCCAGAAGTCTTGTCTCTAAATATGATATAAAATAGCTCCAACTCCAAAAGCCTCCAGAGCCTCTCAACTATGAGAATATCGTCAATGCATGGAGGGGCTTCTGATGCACCCTAGGCTTTGCCTGGACCCGTGTCTTCTCAGGATCTCTTTGCGGGGATTTGACCCTGCCACAAGGTGTCAAGCCTACACTGCTCTCCACGACCTCTGCTTGGATTTTTCATGTCCTCAAAACCAGTAGCACCAGAATGATGCTTACAACACTGCCAAGTTTAGCCAGCTTAGTGTGGAGCCTGGTCCCCTTTGACAGCTTCTGTGTGCTGCTTCTGAAGAAGCATGTTCAGATTGTCCCAATGAATCACTGGAAGCTTTACTTCAGTGGTACTTCTCTCTTTGACAATCCTGGTGGTTACTTCTTCAGCCACAGACTGATGAGCTCTCAGACAGGGATCCAGAGATGGTCTCCACTCCTTCTCTGAGGGATTGTCAACAGGCAATGACTGATTACAGTGATGGCCTCTTTTGATCAGCCACAGATAATCTGATGAAGATGGTTTGCTCAAAAGACCATGTTCTGCTACCTAAAAGGAGGCCTAGCTTCCCTGACCATGTCCACGTAGGTCCTCACTTCCATCTTGTCAGTTAGGCAACCCTGACACAGATGCCAAGGCTACAGACAAAAACAAAGTCATTAAGATAGTCATCTATGTGTTTCCTGCCAGGTTCTGGTGCTCTGCTTGTCTTTTAACTGACGTTGGGGATGTTAATGGTGTTTGGAAAAGCCAGGATTCACTCCAGGTAGCTGTGGGTCACCTTTGTCTAGTTTAGCATATAAACCCTTCCTTTTGCCCAGGGTTGTGGGAATCATCTCTCTTACTCCCATCCACGAATCATCTGTCACCGAGTCTCCAAAAACCTGTGCCATAGGCAATCTGGGTGCACCCACCTGTTTTGGGGGCGTCTCACAAATACCCTGTGAGTGGTTCTTATAGGAGAGAACCCAGTGTTTCTGGAGCCAAGGTGAGTCCCCAGCTTGGCTCTGAGCCATTTCTGACAGTCCCTGTGGAGGGGACAGTGGGTGTCCTGATCCTCTTATGTGGACAGTAGGGACACTGCAGGGAGCTTTACTGACAGCTTCTCAGCTGAGGTCTAGAAGCTTCTTTGGCATCCTTGTGTTGGCCACAAGATGGGTGGGATGGGATGTGTTTGTGGCCAGATTGCTGACCTCTGCCTAGTTGTGTGTACATGAACACACACTAGTGCACACACACACACACACATACACACACACACACCCCAGCAGTGTCTTCATAGACTCAAAGCCAGAAATGCTCACAGATGTCGTCAGATGTCTTCCCTGACTGTGAAATGCTGGGCTGGGCATGGGACCCAGATGGTATGTGAGTTCCTGTCAAGGGCACTCTGGGCCCAGAGCAGAGAGATACAGAGGCCCATGTTTTGAGTGTTGTTTTGGTTTTAGGAAACCTCCACCACGCTCAATCCATTTTTTTTTTCATGAAGACAAAGAGAGGTGTTGGGGGGTCAGTGGGACGAGCTGTAGTACTTGGCACCTGTAGTGGCTGGGGCCCTGTACTTCTCAAAGACTCCCTCTCCCTGCAGATGTTGTGGCTGTTGCTCCTGGCTCTTTCCTGTCTGGAAAGCCCTATGTTCATTGCCTCTGGTAAGTCCTGACTCACCTCAGTTAGTGCTTTGCTTCAGGAACTCTGTCCTGCCTTGCCCCCGCACGCCAACTGGCTCACTCTTAGGGCTTACCTGAGCACTGGGTGTCAACATCTGGCCCACAGTTGGGGTGACAGGAGGGTGGCCTTTGTTCTCTGACTTGTCCACAATGCTTTTAGTATCTGTCTCCAGAAGCAAGCCAATGGGCATTGTGGGGGGTCACCGTACCTCTCCGGGGAGGTGGCCATGGCAGGTCAGCTTGAGAATCTACAATTATGAGACGAGCTCTTGGGTCCACATCTGTGGGGGCTCCATCATCCATCCTCAGTGGGTTCTGACTGCTGCCCACTGCATCCAAAGGTGAGACACCACTGTGGGGGGCATCTGCTGGGTGTAGAATGTAGACAGTATGCTACCCCTGATCAGCTTTCTCTGAGCCACCCAGGGTCTGTCCTCCCACAGTCAGGATGCCGACCCAGCCCTATACCGGGTCCAGGTGGGGGAAGTATACCTCTACAAGGAGCAGGAACTTCTCAACATCAGCAGGATCGCCATCCACCCTGACTACAACCACTTTAATAAGAGGTTTGATGTGGCCCTGATGCAGTTGGCCGCCCTCCTGATCACATCCACGCGTGTCAGTCCGGTCTCTCTGCCAAAAGACAGTTCAACCTTCAACTCAACTGACCAGTGTTGGCTGGCTGGCTGGGGCAAGATTCTCCAAAACAGTAAGCATAGCTGGGGAGACAGAGGGGACATTGCACAGTCTCTCCTATGTTCCTTCCGGAGGGCTAGCTAGCAGTGTGGAAACAAATGGGTAGAAGGAAGGCTCTCTTCTGACTCAGCTGGTGCATTGGCTCATTGGGTAGGCTTCTTGGCATTTTCAGATCTCATAGCCAGCAAGTAGCCAAGGCAGAACCAACCTGGGTTGCCTTGGTCTGAAGGTGCCACTGCTTTTTTTTTTGGCTCTATCCCATGCAGGAGGGATGGGACACCCATTTAGAGGGATACCATTTCTTCATGT